CCAGGTGTATACATTCAGTGTTTAAACAGTTGTAAGTGGTGAATATATGTTAATTAATAAATATTATTTTGGTATTTTAACACATATATTATCTACTTGGCCTTAAAACATAAAGAAAAATAATCGTTTATTACTACCAAATATCTGTTATCCTTTGTACAGTCGAAAGAGTTGAAAATTTGTGTTTGAATGTCCGCACTATGTTTTCTACTTCCTGACCTAAAATATAGCGAAAAGGACTCAAGAGTGCTATTCAAGTCTCTTTCAGAGTGCACACGTACTTTTGTTTACGATAACATTTCATTTTTCTGCGTAGTATTTACTAAAAATGTGGAGATTAAAGAATTACTTCAAAACTTATGAAATAAGTGAATAGTAGGTGAATTTTGGAGGTTTAGACAATTTACATTTAGTTAGATTCTATAATTTCGTTAATCATTGAACAGTGGTTTCCCGTCATTTGTGACGGGCTATATACTAGTACTAAGTATTTTAGAAATTTAGTATTTTAGTACTAATTATATAGATATTGTTATAAAAGGAAACATTGTAAAGTTCTGATGACCTATTGAGGAGATATTTAAAATAACATTTCGATGAACAATCAGGGCCTTCTCTACATAGCCAGTGCTACCACCTGCCTGTAATTGAATCATTTAACATAATCACACTGATGTGTCGAGTAATATAATATTAAAATAACTAGCGCAATGAAATTGTACTCTGTACTATTACAATAATGTAACATCTACTATAATCAGACTGCACTGACTACCACCATAAATACTAAACTAAATAATTTAATGTAATTGTACGAAACTGCTTCCTATTATGGTAATAAGATATTTAAAACAATAAGTTTGAACTGACCAGTATCATAATATTAAAATCTATAGCACAATCAGACTGAACTGTTAACTATTATAATACCAAAATTTCTAGCATTATCAGAATGAACTGTCGAGTATTTTAATATTAAAACATGTAGCACAATGAGACTGAACTGTTCAATTATAGCACTAAACAACTAGCACAATATGAATGACTTGTCTAGTATTGTATAATTAATATATTTATTGTAATCAGACAGAGCCGTTCTCATTAAAAAGCTTGCTCCCTAGTCTATGAGTTTAACATTAAGGACGGCTATGCGCAATTAGTTAACTGTAGCTTTGCAACAATTTCTGAAACAGATAAAAACATGACTATATCTTTCACTATAATGTTATCCTCTTCTTCATGCAGTTCAAGATTCTGAGCAACATCATGATGCTTACCGAGAAGATTATGACCCAAAGTGGATGTCAGGTCGTACCATTCGAGGTCTTTAGTGCCCCTAGGACTTCCTTGTCGTTCAAGATTGTGTACATCCCCTAATGCCAGTAATAAAAGTATAGAACCATTGAATTCATTATAAGATTAGACCATCTTTTGTATGTAAAACTCTGATTAAATATAATTGTGGCATTTAGATCACAAAATAAGCTATTGTTTTTATAAAACTAATTAAATCTATTCATTAAAATATAAATAGGTAGCACTGAATTAAAAAACAACAACAAAGCTTAAACGACAGGTGGATTATAGTTATATATCTTCTGTTGTTTTGTATATTTCAATATCATTATGATATATATATATATTAATTTTATGGCTTATTTGATTTAAATAATCATTAGAATCAATATACCATAAAAATAATTCTAAGTGATAACCTACCCTCATTTGTGGGACTTACTCTCAAAGTAAACTAACATTTTTCTTTGAACCTTCCGATTTTTGAATTAGTGTTTTTGTTATCATAACTTAGATACATCTAATCTAAAACCGTAGAATTAAAACGACTGATAATCCTGAGAGAGAAAGGAACGTTTATCTTTGTAAAATTTTGCTTTGAGAGATAAACATTTAAGGTAATATATTTGCACCGACTTGGGGAAAGCAGTCTATGTTAAGTAATTATTCACAGTCAAGAACACAAAGGCGATATACATTACTTGAATAAGTGTCGAGGGTTGAAACAAATATTAAATATAAAATGGATGACTGATCATAGACAAAGTACGTTAAATTGTCTAGTGATTTCATCACTGATCCTAATTTTCTTTTCAGCGCTTTTACATATCATAGGTTCTAAAAAGAGTTCACACGTGACTCGCGCAAGCTTTTGTTTTGTCATTGCTACAATCACTATTGTTTGAAACGTATAATACACAATTAAAAAAGTGGTGTGTATCATAGATGTACATACATTTGTGTAGTTACAGTATTGTGGTTTTTGTAAACACATATATTTTAAAAGAAAACTTAAAAGCTCTCAAAATTCAGAGGTTGACTGTATTAAAACGATGTTGGAGCACCACCATCTCGTTATCCATATCAGCACGTGTGGTCCTGATGTATCCGATGACCACGCATCTTGACAATTATCCCGAAGCGTAGTTTACATAGCAAAAGGCTACATCGTAACTCTGCCATTCCTAAAGTGCACTACTCCTTCCTGTGTATTTAGCATAACCGATTTAATGCAGTGTACGAGGACGACAGATTAGCAGCGCCCGTTTCATCAGCTCAATCACTCAGAAAACCATAGGCACTGCGTCTGGCATCCTAGTATGTCTTCGTATCGAATAGCATGAATAAATGCTTCATTCGCCAGCTGCTTAAGATATGAGACAGTTGAACAAACATGTCGTAGAAGCAGCTTCTGTACACGTGACTTGTGACAATTTTCCAGATGGAGATTATTCTTTGTTATTTTGCGTACTGTTGCCTGGGGCACGTGGATCGCTTTTCTCACTGACTTTTGTGATCGGATTCCTACCTGTTACAAGACACCGTACTTTGCTTAATACGGTTGGAGTAAGACTTGTTGCAGATCTCTTTTCTGAGTGGTCTTAGTACTCCAAGTTTATATGTATTCTTTTATTTTTTAATACCATTAAGTACGAGGGTTATTTTCATTTTGTAAATTCTAAATCCCCAATCTGAAAACAGCTTTATGATTTGAGTGTATGAATATTTTTTGTCGAAACGTATGTTATATATTCTTCCTCAAAACGATCAATTTTCTGTGGCATCAAATAATCCATGAAAATGCCAAACATTGTCAACATGTAGGTCTGTTACACGTTGTTTCACCTCGACTTCATATCGACTGTGAATGTTACGTAACTTGCTGATTTGCATATTCAAAATCGTTTTTTAATGTACACATCCGTGCATATTACAAACGTTTACTAGTTACGTTTACGTTTAAACCAGACGATATTATATTTTTCCAATACGATAATCAATGCCTGTATAATTCTGCTTCTGGTTAAGCTATTGCATACAAATATGTTACAAAAAAAAACGAATTAAGTAATACATGACGAAGAACCTTTTAGAAAATTTAATGGGTCGCAAAAACATTAATGATGCAAATCACCGAGTATATACCAAACTTTTAATGACATAGTGATCTCAAACATATCCTTACTTAATTCAATATTAAATATTAAGATACAAAAAAGGAGATATTCTTGAAAGTAACATCGTCCATTAGGATGAGGCATTAGTAACTGAAGTACTGTAGGAATGTTTCAGTCTATGCAATGCTTACACTAAATTGTGTATATTACAAATCAATTGTGTACGAACCTCATCCAACGTTAACTCATTTTTTTAGATCAATTCCTGTGCCTAACCAAGAACCGTTCCTGCTTAAGAGGCTAGAAGGTTCGAGATATATCATGCACAAGTATAAGGCGTGATACACTTTCATCAAATCATGAAGCCGATCTAACTTAATTTAATATATTGCAGTAATATGTTAAAGCATTTGTTACGTACTACTGACATATATATATATATATATATATATATATAACTTATAGCAGAAAGAGTCTGAACCTGGTTTTAAGTTTAGAACATGACTATTCAAGGTTGACATAATTTAACCATTTTATTTTCAAACGCACGTAATTACAAAATTCGCTGTTTTAAAACCACTGCTAGTGAGACGTCAGTTTCCAAACTTAATTGATTAAAATAAAAATGTTTATTATTAAATTATAAAAAAAATCAGATCCCTTACTGATAGCCTGACACTCTTTACTGCACATCATACTCATTTATCGGTGAGCATTTTATATTATACATATAATTTATTTCACGTCTGCCCATTCAATTGGATGCGTGTAATTAGATTATTATATAATTTTTGTCATTACTGTATTTTAATGATAGTATCCTTTTCAACGTGACATAAGACTTCTATGGGATTTAAAGCATTAGTTAAGTCAGTACCATTCCTAAACAGGAAACCTTTAAAAGGCATATAGAATTTCGTATTGGTTGTAAAACCGTGTACTTACACAAAACGAGCTCCTGAAATTCGTTATCGCTTGTAACAGTTTGAAGCTGCTTTCCGTCAAATGACCAATCGATGCTCAGAATGGGTTGACGACCCTGTATGAAATTCCGTCTCATTGAAAGAATCATGCTTTTCTAGGTTTCTAATTCATATTTAAATAAACTCTTATATATTTACAACTGAAATGGGTAGAAGCTCTGATTTATAGATTTAATAGAACTTCGCAATAAATAACCTAGTTTTACCATATTAAGTATTTACTTAATAACCAAACAAAACTTCCAGATCTTTTCAACAGGTTAAATTTATTTATTAGTTCGACAGTACCGGGGGTATCTAAGAGAGAACAACTAACATTTATCCGTTAAAGCCTTTAATAAAGGAAAATGAAATATTCCAATTCAAATTTTATTGTACAAAGCGTCTTCGAGTTTTGTTTCCGGTAGGTCAGCGGTAAACTTACGGATTTATAACGTAGAATCCAGAGTTCGATTCCACGCAGTAAAAGGAGTGCAAGCTAATTATGTAGCTTGGCGCTGAAACTACAACAATAACAATATCTTAAAATTATCAGTTATTCTTTGATTAATTGGCGTTCTTTAGTTTAAACAGTAATATTTTAATTAACATTATTAAGTTAATCCCCCTTACTTATACATTTTACTTTTCCTTACCATTAATTCTTTCCGCCATTCTTTTTGTACCGTTTTCTTAATTTTTTTTTACAATTTTTACAACTATTCAAATATACTAATGTCCGAAATAAAGTTATAACTATCCGCAATACATCAAATTCTCGAAATATTATGCAGATAATAATTTTGAAAATAGAACAGCAAAGAAGAACAAGCAAATATTGGTGTAGAACAAATAGAATATTTCTATTCATAGACGGCCCTGCATGGCCAGGTGGTTATGGCGCTCGACTCGCAATCTGCGGGTCGCGGGTTCGAATCCCCGTCACACCAAACATGCTCGCACTTTAAGCCGTAGGGGTGTCACAATGTGACGGTCAATCCCACTATTCGTTGGTAAAAGAGTAACTCAAGAGCTGCTTTCCCTCTAGTCTTACACTGCTAAACTAGGGACTGCTAGCGCAGATAGCTCTCGTGTAGCTTTGCGCGAAATTAAAAAACAAACAAACAATCTATTCATAGAACACAGGCGTTTAGCTTATACTGGCCAATTTATAAATTCGTTGTATACACTTCTATTGGTACTAGAGAAGAAGAAAGCAAAATGTCTGCAGGAGACGAAGGTAGGAGCGTCAATAATAATGATAACATATTGTTAGGTCAGTCAATGTCCTAGTGCAGTATTCCACAATTGTAGATTATCTACGTCAGCGAATAGTCCCGTTACATACATTCAAAGGAGATGACCTTAATCCAGAAGAAAATGAAACAGGGGCAGGATCAAACAAGTATAAGCCCAATTGAAGAATCGTTGTAGTAATTTAATATTTTTCAAAGTTAGAGAATTAACGAAAGGCGAAATATCCATATCTAATTTACAAGAAATTCATGAATTAAATGAATTATAAAAAAAAACAACAGAATATACTTGAATAAAGATATATATATTCGCACAGTTGAGGAAAACAAAAGACAATTGTACGTTTCACAAATACATCATTTATTCACGACCATGGTTTCGCCAGTAAAGGCATCATTAGGTATCAATATATATACCTGGCCTGTGATGGAAGGATGACACTAGCGGTTTTATCAACTGCGAAACCTCTACTACATTGTAAGATCACCTGTCAAATATCCTCCTAAAGAGCTTTCCACAAGCAAAAGTTCTTATATTACAGCAGCAGATAAAGAACAAAAGCACATCACACAGAAAACAGTACCATTTAAAAAATAAAGATTGTCAACTTTATACTGGTTATAATATAACATTGAAAGACAATAAGGGACTTTTTGATCCACCCAAGGCGTCCTATTAATTTAAACACTAAAAACTCAAAGACAACCTTTATAATTAAAATATTTATCAAGCTTTTCCGTAAACTCCCTTAAATTAACTGCATCCACCAAGTCTGAAGACAACCCGTTCCAAATGCCAATCACTCTGCTGTAAAAATAAAGCTGTCTTAGATGAAGATGAGTCATACCCTGCAAAATTTATATTTGTGTCCCCTAGACTTCCCATTCTTACCACCAAATACGAAAAAATGATGCATCAACAGTAAAAATTCCCTTAACAATGTTAAACACCTCAATTCTTCTTTTTTTCCTTGAGAAAATCGTTTCAAAGATATAACAACCTTTCCATCCCAGATATCATCCTACTAGCATTCCTCTCAACCCTTTCCAACAATTCGATGTTCTTTCTAAGGTAAGATGCCCAAGACTGAACACTGTACTCCAAACTTTGCATATACAATGACACTATAACCTTTATGGACTTTTACTCATTGTTCCTTTAGATACAACCTAAAATCTCATTTGGTCTTCCAGTAGCAACAGCATATTACTTAGATGGCTTAAGAGACTGATTAACATCAAAATACTTTTTTCCAGAAAACTGTTAACGTTATCCCCATCAAAATTATACCTATAATATAAATTGTGATATTCCATATGCATTACTTTGCATTTATTAGAATTAAAACCACCTGCCATTTGGCCCAACTTATGAAATAATCTAAATCCTATCGTAAATCACAGAAAGCAACACCCAAAACTTTAGTGTCATCAGGAAACTTAAATAATCTATTGACCATTCCTTCATCTTTGTTATTGATGTAGCTCAAAAATGAACAAAGGTTCTAGCACTGAGCCTTGACGTACCCCACTCGTGACATTAATCCAGTTTAGCTGAACTCCAACAATACTCTGCTTTCTTCTATCAAGCCAGTTTTCCATACAATGAACCAATCTATACCCCACACTTAAAGAAATTATTTTTAACAAGCCTTTTATGTGGAAGCTTGTCAACTGCTTTCTGAAAATTCAGAAAAATCAAATCCACATCCTATCCTCATCTACCATAATTAGTAACTTCTTTAAAGAATGTCAAAAGATTAGTAAGGCAAGATTTTTGTGAGTGAAACCATGTTGACTATCCAACAAAATTTTAAAGTTTGTTAAATGACTTTGCAATGTATATTTTATCAGACTTTTAAAAACTATGTAAAACTAATAGGCCTATAATTATTGGGACAATTTGTATCATCTCCCTTGATGAGTAACGTTAGCCAACCTACAATTTTCAGGCGCCTGCCAACTATTCAAGAACATAGGAAAAATAGTTGTCGAAACATTGTACATTTGCTGTTATGTTAAACTTATATTAAAGTTTTTCTTCATTACCCATTCAAGCCGTCTCCAAGCATAATAGGAAAATAAGATTGGTTTGGTTCATTCGAAGTTAAGCACAAAGCTACACAATGGGCTATCTGCACTCTTCCTACCACGGGTATCGAAACTTGGTTTCTAGTGTTGTATGTCCGCAGACACACCGCTGAGCCGCGGGGGGTTGGGAAAAATTGAAGGAAATAGCTTACATGTATGTGTTTTGTTATAGAAAAGTCACATCAATTCCCTGATTTTAGCATTGTGAATCCGAAAACTTACTGCTGTTCCCCCGGGTACGTAGATTACGTATTCAATCCTTGACCTCTTTCAAAACCATTGGATAAATACTATTTGGTTCAGAAATTTGATCATTCTTTAAACTTCCTAATTTTTTTAACAAGCTCAGGTTTAATGTGCTCATCTTATAGCAGCTGTTCAGGATGAGGAATATTACTTAAATCTTCATTACTAAAAATTGAAGTAAGAGTAGAATTTAATAACCCAACAATTCCATAATCATCAGATATTAGCTTTCCTGTATCATCTTTCATGTGCCATATTTCCATCCTAATATTATGCTTACCCTTGATGTAATTGAAATCCTTACTATTAATTTTTATATTTTCAACGAAATTATTTTCACACACTTTTTCGTTTACCTAATTTCTCATTTGAACAACTTTCTTGTTCATCTGTAGTTTTCCAAATTCACATCATTGTAGTCAATTTAAACTTCATACATTTATAATGCTTTTATTTACTTTTATCCTCCCCACCCCAATGTCTCAACTGTAGGTTTCAAGACTCATAACGATAAAAACTTGGTTTCGATATCCGTAGTGGGAACTGCACTGATGGGCCATTGTGTAACTTTGCACTTAACAATATACATAGAAAATTCTAATTATATTCTTTGTAGCCTTTATGAGCCAACCTGTTTTTTTTTTTTTTACTTGCAGCCACCCTTTCTTTCTGAAAAGAACTTGCCTATCGTTAATATTTAATAAACTATGCCATTACCTAGAATTACATTTGGTGGAGTCAAAATAGGGATTTTTATAGTTTGAGTAAATTATGTCTTCAGTTTCTTCAGCCTTGTTTGCTTACTCTTCCGATCTCTATTTGCAAGTTTCTAAATTTCGAATTTTATATTTATTTTTAAGCTATCACACTTTCTGCTGAGCAGCTGTGGAATACCAATTATGGAAGAAAACCACCCTTAACAGTTTATCAAAACCTCTTTGTTTGTTTCGAATATCGCGCAAGCTACACGAGGGTGATCTACGTTAGCCGTTCCTAATTTAGCAGTGAAAGATTAGAGGGAAGGCAGTTAGCCATCACCACCTTTCGCCAACTCTTGGGCTACTCTTTTATGAACGAATAGCGGGATTGACCGTCACATTATAACGCTCCCACAGCTGGAAGGGCGAGCATGTTTTGTGGGATGGAGATTCGAACCCGCGATCCGCACATTGCGAGTCGAACACATTTACCACCTGATCATCCCAGGAAATTTAAACCTGTCTCCCTCATGATTTAGCTCTTACATTTCTCATTGTATATGCCTGAAGTTAAAATATCCCATAATTATAACTTCATTAACAGCGAAATCTCTATCTCACTGTAGCATTTCACATTAATTTAATCAGTTTCATCTGGTGGTCTGTAACAAGTTCCAGCTAAAAGTCTTCTCCACTTATAACCATTAACAAAACTTAAATAGATTCAATTTCATTGCTATTAGCTTTGATATCCTTATCTTAAGCAGGCTTAAATTCACATTTTAC